CTGGAGGGGTTAGTCGCACCGGAATGCCCCATTGCCTGCCACAGGGTCAACTACGAGGCCCTAATCCCCTCCCGGCTCCGCTTAGGATAAGGGCAATATAAGGCAAGAACTGAAGACATAAATATTCCGCGTTAAAACGCATTGGCAAAAACTACACTATTATGGTTATGTACTTTATGAGAATAAACACATTATAAATACTATTGTATACCACAAAGGAAACATATAGAAAAAGTGGTGCAATGAGAAAAGAGAAGAAAAAAGGGCAATGAAGGAATGGTCAGCAACGTAAGTCAAAGCATAAGCAGAAAGAAGTACCGCTGGTCCGCTGTGTCGGTGTTGTTGACTCCAACTGATGGCATCGTTGTTGCTTGCACCGGCTGAAGTTGACACGTAGACGACCGCTGAATCCGAGGCACCGCTTGGGACGACGACAGGAGCAGACGCAGAACGATGAAATACTGCCAGCGCGGCTCGCTCGATAACATTCCCGCGCTTCCAGAACGTTCGGCCATTTGAACGTTCGGCGTCGCGGTTCAGCATTGGAGCACGGTATTTTCCAACGGAGCTCACGGTCGCACGTAAGTCGCGACAGTATGTCTACAAGATTTGTATAAAGCTTAAAGAAATGGAAGCGATGCAGCGCTAGGCTCGCTGACTTTCTGCGATGGCCTTTGCGAGCGTCACCGCAGAGGCACAAGCACCGGTTGTTTTTGTAAATTTAGGAGTGAAAGTTGATTTGTAGACCTGATCGATCTCGTCATGTGCAATAGTACGATTTGACGATTCAAAGCGGACATATTGTCAAGATGATGCTCCTGAGTGCAGATCAGAAATTGTCTGAAAATTCCGTAAAAGGGGTTCCCTGACTTCATAACCTTCGATCAGTGACCACTCTGGAGCCCTGACCTAAATCCCATGGATGTCTCGGTGTGTTCAGCCTCTGAGACGAAAGCATGCGTTAGCCCATAAAAGAATTGAAATAGTCCCGAAAATGCCTTGCAAAAAGTTGGGATCAACTCGATGACCTTAGCTGCGTGCCACCGTCAATGCCGTTCATCGTCGTGTCTGGGGATGGGTAAAAGCAGAAAGCAACAGATCCAAGTCTCAGTGTACTATTTTGATAAGGAATTAGTGATAAACGCTTTTACGAAGTTAGTTTGCTTTTTCAGCATCCTATTCGTTCTCGGGGATGTGATGTCTGTGTAATCATAATTTTGGCCCACCCTGTACAGACGACTACGACGCCAACGAGTATGCGATATGTATGCATCTTGCCCATTGAACTACTACAAAAGAACAAAACATAAAGGCTGTTAAATTTATCTTCATAAACAAATAAACGGAACTAAATCCTACTGGCAAGCTTTTGCATCACTAGGGGACTTGGGCATCCGCTCCCATTGGAGAAGGAGACGGCAACAGAGTCTACGGACGTGTGCTATGCGTGGACCGAATCCCTCCGCGGCCCTGAGTTCCTTCGCTAATCCTTGAAGTTCCTTGGTGCGTACGTCCTCCCAGAGCTGCAGATGACCTCAGCTGCCCGGCGACAGCTAGCAGCTCTCCCTAGATTCCACAAGTGGGCGGGGTTGGCACTAAAGTGGGCGGGGCTTTGATCAAAAATTGATAATTCGATACAGAAACTTTCTGGGGTGCGGCAAAAACGTGCTAAGGTGTAAAAGAACGAATGTGATAAAATCCCAAAGTGTGCGGGGTTTGCATTAAAGTGGGTGGGGCATGGGTCAAAAATTTATGACTATTTAAAAACGTTGTGAGATTCGTGAAAAAAGTAGTAAAATGTAGAAGAACATGGTAAAATGTAGTAGAACAAATGTAGTCAGATTCCACAAGTAGGCGGAGTTAGCACTAAGGCGGGCGGGGCTTAGATCAAGAATTGATAACTCCATACAGAAACTTTCTGGGGTGCGGCAAAAACGTGCCAAGGTGTAAAAGAACGAATGTGGTCAAATCCCAGAAGTGTGGGGGGTTTGCACTAAAGTGGGTGGGGCTTAGGTCAAATATTTATGACTATTCAGAAACGTTGTGGGATGCGGGAAAAAAGTGGCAAAATGTGGTAGGACAAATGTGGTCAGATTCCACAAGTTGGCGGGATTGCCACTAAAGTGGGCTTACATTAAAATTATTAAGTCTCTTCAGATGCGTTTTAGAACGCGGGAAAAAGGTGTTTGGAGGTAATAAATGTGATGTGGTTCGAAGTTTGAAGTGGGTGGGGTTTGCAAAGATTGGGGCGGAGCTAAGATCGGAAATTTATACACATGTCCTTCACGCTGACCCTGACCACATAGGTGTACAACTAGGGGAAACCACTGAACTCTTTCAGAACAAGGCTAAAAATTTTTTAAAAGTTAGTATCCATGGTCCCACACACAGGAGTCCCTTCTTTACTAAATTACCTTCAGAACTCAGGAAATAAATTCCGCAATAACCTGGACAACAAAGGTGCACTCCCTGTAGAGACGTGTAAATTCCTACAACTACCCGAAGAGGCTGTCCTTTCAAAGTTAGTGTTCATGGCCAAACACAGCCCAAACAACCCAGAGTTTCTCGATGACATGGACTGCAGAGGTATTTGATTTGGATACATCGGAGTACTCTTCATGTCCACACAGAGCCCCATTTCACATCCCAAAAAAGTGATGGCCGCTACAGAAGTGTCAGGGAAGAGGCTCAGATGATCAAGGTCTATAATGAAAATCGGAAGCTCATGTGGCTTCGTCCCTCATGGCTAGAGCCTCTAGCGCACACAGTAGTGTGCGTAGCCGCCTGGTCTTATAAAAGGTAAGTAAAAAATTACCAACTGTGCACGTTTACAGAAGGATTGCGTTTTTAGGATCAGAACATTTTGAAGTTACTCTTGTTTTGAATGTTGACAAGTAAATTGTTGACCTGTGAAGTAAATTCTAAATCTCGGAGGAGCATTAATGCCATAGTAAAGAGATTTGCACTACTTCATGGTGAAGCCATAGACTAGTGCACATCTCATTTGTCCCATCTCAACTGAAGGGTACTGAAGCGATTGCATTGAAACGCGTACATAATCTGCCGCGTGGCGCGTCGCGTGCTGCGTGCACGAAGAGCTCTTTTGAAGTCACGCGTGAATCGCACGTCCCCCAAGTACCTTCAAAAAGGAGATATGATCAAGCAGTAGGTAAAGAACAGGTTAATAAGCAATTTAAGGAGTAATAAGTTGGGTCAGTTGGGCAAATGCCAGTAGCCGAAGCTATTCTGGGGTGGGCCGGAGTGGGTGCCCCATTAAGCTAAGCGCGTACCTCGGGCGTAAGTACCCGGGCTAGGTTGGAACAGAGGTTGTGTGCACTTGTCGACCCACCTTGATAGGACTAAGTCGAGAAGTGTGAGCCATACTGCCAGCATTCCGGTAAGCGGAGAGGAAATTTGGGGGGGGGGCGACAACTGGCAGCCAAGTAGGCGAAGAATAGTGAAACGACACTTTTCCCACATAGTTCACAGCGACCTGCTTTCAGCGTTATTCCCTTTGCTTGTCAACATGAAATGATCTATCGACTTCTAGCTAATGTGGTATATCTCTGTCTGTGGTAGCTGTCTCGCATTCTCAATGATCTTCACTGCCAAACTTTCGTGGCTTGGTTGGCTGTAACTCTCGTAAATTGCATAATATTATTTTCAATCCGTTGGAACCAGTTGCTAAGTCCGATATCGCACTTTCCTAATACAATTTCTGCTCTTAATAGAAACGACATCACCCTGATCCGTTTTTACCCACCTGGAAAAGGAAATGTAACGGTCAGAAGTATTAGGTTGATGCATAAGATCTTTCCACCTACTTTTTTTTGTAAATATCTCAATAGCGAACCAGCCTGAAGATTAGAGGTATGCACCATCACCATCAACGGCTCGACGCCAACGCTCTGGCAGCTGTCGATTCCGTCCTATGCCTGTACTGAGAAAAACGACTTACATAGCTTAATCCATTCCCAACACTGATTTTGGTTCTTTTGTGTCTTCGAAGATCTGGGTTGTGAGGTGAAAGCTGTCGGTATCACTCTGTACAGATTTCCTGATTCCTGGAGAATTCTATACTTGTCGCACTGCGATCGAGTATCATAGCTTCAAACATTCGCTAGGAAATGTTGTTTCCAATGAAATCTATGCCTTCCAATTTCATTGCATGTCATCGTCTACCAGCAAACGGTCTTCCCAGCTTCTCCCATGATAGATCGATAATACTCAGGGAGCTGAACGACATGACAACTGTGTTGAAGGTTTTTCAGAAACGAATGTGCCTCTTGGCACTACCTCACTGCCCGGAGGGACTCGCCCGCGGAGCGTCACCGCAGACTAACCAATGCCTAGCCCCTCCGGTTTATACATCCTTCAGAAATCAGTGTCCAAGTAGTCCTAAATGGACTGAATTGTACAACTTGTTTCTACTGTCTTCGTTGCTATTATCAGCATAGCGAAGGTGTCGTTGAAGTTGTTCGAATCGATCTCTCACCATAATGTCATCGGCTATAGAGTGTCCGTTTCTGGCTTAATTTTTAGCCTTTCAAGGCCGAAAAATCACTTCAGTTTCTCGATGTCTGTCTCCTTCCGCCGAAGATTCTTCTGATGGCTGTATATATTCTGTAGGAACTATACTTTAGGAACCATCAACAAATTTTCGATAACGTAGCCGAGAGGGGTTTGCCAGATTTCCGCATGCTGATGTCCGCTCGTTGAAAACCCATCTATTATTTAAATGTGCGCCATCGGTTTGAGTATTATCTTCTGTGTAGCTATTGCTATCACCTTTGCCGGTGTCATTTAAATCAGAGTCCCGAACAACTACATGAACAAAACCGTCCTCTTCCTCTGGTTCATACATGTCTTCAGCTCAGTGTCAACGGCAATAGAACCACTCTGACGATAAAAATTCTACGGAAGTACCCGAGCTTATTACTGTCTAAAACTAATTGGAATTTGGCACATCGATCAGCGACGTCGTTCTATTCTAGCTCGTTTGAATAGTGATTTCTATGGCTGTTCATTGTTCAAAGTTTCATACACCGAAATAAATGGTCGAAAATCTGGTTCCACGATTTTGGAAAATTTGCTTAAACTCAAACAGAATACCTGTTTTTCTTTTGTTTTTAGAAGTTTTAATTCGTAATGCACACATAATGGCTTATTCTTTGTAAACGCAGCAAACTAAATATTTGGTCTGTCCTGCCGAACGATACCGGTTAAAGGCACCGTTCACGATAAAAAAAGTTATTGAGTTCTTACCTTATTAATACTCAGCGGCCCCCATGGGGGGACCCTCTCACTCCCCCAATCTCGACGTCCAGGGAATAGTGGCAGCCCCGTTGTTCCCGTCGTTCGCGTTTCCGCCCCTCGATCGGTGTCACGTTAGACGAGTGTCGAGACAATACAGATTGCTATTGTTCGTTCTAGGACCCACGCACAAACAGCTAATCGCCGAGTGATGAGGCGATGTTTTTCTCCCATTCTTTCCTCTGTTTTTCTTTTTGCTGCCGCGATCCCTTATTTAATTTCCTACTCCTAGAGGCTGAAAAAAGTGAGCTACTTTTGCTGTCACTAGGGTTTTTTTTGTTTATTTATGCTTATAAGTGAATGAATTTTTGCTTACCATTGTCTGTTCTTCGCACCAGGACCCACACGCGCGCAGTGATACACACTGTTTAGCTCGTCCGGACGCCCCACCCTTCTTCATTTTTCTGGTTTCATTCACGTCCAGCCCCCTTTTTAACGTTTTTTCGAAGCCTTTTTTCACTATGGAAACACCGATGCACGCAGTTTCTTCACCTCAGTCGCAATAGTTTCGATCTTGTCTTTCGTTTTTCATCATAATCTGGATTACCCAAAATTATGTGGACGGTGCCTTTAATGACCAGGGATACGGCCGGCAAATGTTCAGCGTAAGCAGTGGCTCGTCCCTTGGACGCGCAAACGAAAAGCGTTCTTGTTGTTAATGTGTTGAGAAAGTAAATGCTCTAGAAGAAGGCCATGGTTCCTATTTGAGGCATGCCTTTTACCTGCTTATGAATGTTGTTTTCAAGAATACAAAAGCTGTTAGACAGGTGAGTACACAACGTCTCACCGATTTTCATCTGTAGCAGTAACATTGCGTAAAGGGCTGGAGACGTCAAGCGGAGTTATCGCTATGCGAAATAGGACGAACGATGTTAAAGCTCGGAAGTTTTGCATCAGCGCTCCTCCCGTATTACCGTCTACGAAAGGATGTAAGTATCAGCTTGGTTAGAGGCACTCACGATTAGACACGATCGTCTATGGTCAGGTCAGAACTGTAGCAGCGAGGTTGGTCGTCATTGGGTTATTTCGTATCAACGGTGCTAAGTGAGTTGGGAGAGGCCACGCGGCGGCACGGCGCCTTTTCATGTCTGCGCCCTTTCCAGCGAGACAGCAGTACTGGACCTGAGTCTGGGGAGGGATGGTGAGATTGCACTGAAGTGTTTCGTGATTCAAAACAAATTACATCTTGGCACATGATATATGCTTGCATATTATGGATAGTCTTCTTCTGAGCCGATAATACCCTATTTTTGTGAAGGGGAGGGGCTCCGGGATGGGTGAGATGGTTATCTCGTGCAAAAAGCTGAGATGAGATAAAAGCTGAACGTCCAATTGGCTCACCCACCCCGGAGCCCCTCTCCTTCCTAAAATTAGGTGAAAAATACGCAATTATAACATAAAAGAGCTATGAAACGCCCCTAAACACCGTTACGGGCTCGACTTCTCTTGCTTACCCACTATCTCGCTGGAGAGACGCAGGGTGCCGCGCTGCCTGCCGCGCCGCGTGGCCCCCCCCCGACTCACTTAGCACCGTATCAACAAACCAGAAATCATCGAAACATTTATAAATTCATTTCTGAACACCTTTTCAAAATGCTGCAAAACAGCGGTTCCACTCAATTGGTTGCCAGAGGTTTCTTTTGTTCTTTTCTAGAAAATCGGACCGCCTTGTGTAAACATGTTTCTTTTGAATATCTACTATACTTATTCGGAATGCGCATTCATGCTAGCGGCGGATATCGCGCAGTGTCTCTGTTCGTACATTTCTTGATAATTATTTTAAGGTTGGTGCGCGCCTACTTAGCAGATGAGCCATTCAAACAGTTTCTCGATTCAATGCTGTTTTATCGTTACCTGCAGTGGAAGTGGCTGGAGAAACGGCCAGTGGACAAGCACACATTCAGATTATACAGAATACTCGGCAAAGGTGGATTCGGTGAAGTGTGTGCATGTCAAGTGAGTTTTATTCAGTTTTCTTGAAAGAAATACTAAGCTCTCGCGAAATCCAGAAGCTAATTATATCCTTATTTCATTGATATGGAAACGCACGATCTCAACTGTAACTTATCACAGTACCAGTTGATTTAGGCGTGCATCACAACAAAGAACGCTTTGTATAGAGTTGCAACCTCTTGTCCATCGCTTTGCCTGCTTTTGCGCTTGTGCCGCCCAGTGTGAAAGCTTGACCATCCTACTCTCAGCGTCCAACCGCTTGTTTCCGGATTGAAGTGCTGTTTTGAACAGAGTTATGGATGTTTGATCTCAATCCCGACCTCAGTGGAAATCTGAGCACCCTTCCTACACACCCTCTAACTACTTTTTTCCAGTTTTTTCGAACAGAGCTGGGTACTTTTGTTAAATCTCAATCTCAGGGCACGCACCTCATCGTGGGCGAGCTCCATTATATTTGAGGATGCCCGGCTCACCTTGGATCATGCTATTTGGACATTCACATTGGACCTTGCTATTTTCCACAGTTTTTTCTTAGCTTCCGCGCTTCAGTGGAATTTATTCATGAAATTATCAGTAACTGCCGCCGAACTTGTGAACGCTTCCCCACCGCGGTTTGGTGTCCTTCGCTTCATTGGTTGACTCAGTCATCTTTTTCCATTTTTCGCCGTTGTCTGTGTTGTTCTGAAATCAAATTTGGAAGTTTCGCCTTTGCTACTGCTCACGACATGTCCGTCGGCCGTAGGCGTAGCTCCCATGAGCATTGTTAATTTTGTCGTTCCTCATTCTTCTCAGACTTGATCTGACTACTCCAGACTTTTCTTCAAGTAATACCAAATTTCGTGACAGATAAATCGTTATACAGGGTGTCCCGAAATTATGGGGGCCAAAATTCGGCATGAACTTTATTCATTTCACTCCTTTTTCTTGCAATGTGCGTAGCTACGAAATGAGACTCCCAATATCTTTTGGTTGGCGAGAGCTCATTCAATGCCACTTGCAGCAGTTCGCATGCAGAGGCGGAAAGGCGTAGTATAATTCGTTGTAATTCCAGTAGTGAGTGTACCGGAGGCTATTAAACGATACAGGGAAGCAGAGTTAACCGAAGGCAAAGCTGGAATGGATGAAAGGTCAGTGTTTTATGGACAAGACTGTTAAAATAGTCATTGCGGGCCGATCGTGTTCCTAGGTGATCCATTGGAAAGAGGTGGCTAGCCTTGATAAACGAAAATCAACCAAAACTTGTACATAAAAAACAATGATCGACATACTGAAGCTTTTATCTTATACCTGAACAGCCCATAATTCTTCCTGCAGGACGGTTCCCACAGAACCATACTCGTCCAAGAGTGGTGCCGATGCGAGCTTCCTGACTTCATTAGCACCGAAGAATGACCGTCCTGCTCGCTAGATCTTAATCCTCTTGACTTCCTCCGTGTGATCCGTCGTAAGACGGAAAATCCGTCCAGTTCGCTATCGCAGTCTGGTGTCCTTGAAAACAAGACTCACAACGGAGGGAAACATGAACCTGAGAGGAGTTCAGGAACAGAGTTTGAGCCTATGCCCGTGTTCACGAATGATATTCTTGAAAGTTATGTAGTTCGTTGTTGCGCACAATGTAAGCAATGTGCATATTGATCACAATGTTATCCTTCGCTTAAAAGATTCAAATACATCGCAATAAAACGGCCATAATCCATAATTTTGGAACACCCTTAATATGGCTGGCTGATATTTTCCTTCAGTGGTTAGTGTAGAACACAAAGTGCCTCAGAAGAGGGGAACGGCACAAACAGAGCAATATACCGGCATTCAGAACATCCTACGCTCCTTATTACGGATTTTTGACGTATTGCTCTTGGTGATAATATAATAGTAATAAGCGATCGGGAACTCAATTCTTCCCGCTTTGGATCTACTGACACAGCAACTTTTTGTTAACTGGACAACCATATTAGGGAACCTAAGTCTTCAATGTAATTAATGTTGTCGATCGACTGGTGGTGGCGCCATCATCTAACGCTGTTATCCACCGTCTTTTTTGTTTTCATGGCCCGTTCGATCTCGTCGTGCGCAGTAGGACATTTTGGCGATTCAAACCGGACATATTGTTAAGATAAAGCTCCTGTCCGCAGATCAGAAATTGTCTAGAAATTTCTTAAGAGAGGTTCTTCGACTTCATAACCTTCGATCAGTGACCCTCCATGGGATTTGGGTCAGTGAGCCCTGACCTAAATCCCAGGGATGTCTCAGTGTGGTCAGCCTTTGAGATCAAAGCATCCGTTAGCTCAAAGGAGAAGTGAAATAATCTCGAATTAGCCTTGCAAAAGCCAGGGTCAACTGCGAGCTTAGCTGCCTGCCATCGTCCATCGTCGTCTCTGGGGTTACATGGGAGCAGAAAGCAACAAATCCCAGTTCCAATGTACTATTTTGATAGGAGATTAGTGGTAAACATTTTTCCAAATTTGGTTTCTTTATTAGCTTTCTATTCGTTTTCGGGGATGTGATGTCTGTGTAATGTCATTGACTGTTTTCATTTTCTATATCCCTTAACTACGCTCCAGTCACACCCTGCATCACATACTGAAGTAACAAGGCTCCAATATTATCGATAGAAGGGGAAGTGATCCAGTTATTTTGCATAGCAACATTTATTGTCAGCTCTAGAAGTTACTCTCCATCCTTTTGACCAACCTTTCGAGATTTTGGTACTTCTCGCACCATCCACTGAAGTTCCACTGCTACCCGAAAGACGTAACAATCTTAACTTCTGTAGCCTATAATCAGCCTCTGCCAGTTGTCAACAACTTTCATCACGCGTAGTTTACGACGTCTTCACACCACGCATCACACACGAAACTGTGAAGTCTCCACCGCTAAAGGGGAAGGGCAAGTGTTCTCACGAGTTTTGCCTTTTACGATCTTTAGGAGCCTCAGCCGGTTGTTATATTTTCCTCTCCCCCACCATTACTGTTCCCATCATGCAGCGTGTGCCTCTTGTGAATTTCCACGCTTTACATCCACCGGTGGCGGAAAATGTGAACCTCCGGTCGAACACCTACGCCGATCAACGCATCCATAAACCACACCGAAGCACCTCTAATCTTTAGGATTTATATGTAGTACGAGCGTTTCGAATTCGATTTCCAAAGTTTACTGAAATGTTAAGTTGTTGCAATTATGCTTTTTTGTGGTTCATCTCATGCTTATCGTTATCTTACGGCATCGTAAAGTCTGTCTAATTCAACTCCGTTCGTGTGAGAGCAGCGCAAAGGTAGAGATGTAGATCAGTTGTCATGGGGCGAAAGATCGTCCTCGTTAAACTCAGACTCTCCGACGTAGTTGCCGATTTCAGCAAAGCGCGAGTATAGGGCCAAGGAAGTAACGTGATTTGTTGGCAAGATTTCCGCGCATACGAGCCAGTCCACCGAAGAGCACCGTATTCTCACAAAGCAACATTTATTTGGGAGTATAAGTATATTTAAGAGTTTAAAAGAGTAAGAGTGGTATTTGAAGCATATGTGAAGTAGATGAATGTTAAGCTCACTTTTTACAGTAGAGTAGCTCTCTATTTTTGTAATATTTGACAGTTTCGATGCCATCGCAACGTTGCGTTTCATTTCTACCAAAGCAAATTTAAAGCATATAGGTTATCTCTAGGCAGTTGGTCGGTTTCAATGTTGTATAGAGCGATGTAAAAAGGTTATGCCTAATATGATTATTATCATAGCTAGTAGGCTCGCCCAGCTGAACCAAGCTTCCCTCTTTCTTTGACAAAATTGTAGTAATCGGTTAACTCTCCACTCCTTTCTTGAAACAAACAATCTCTTCCTGCATTTAAGGACTAGCCTTGACGTAATATCGAGGGCAGCCGCTTGACTTGCGTCACCACTTAATTTATCGTCACCACACTTTAATTATTACCGTAGGAAACGTGTACCTTAATATGGGTAATTAAACCCAGATAATACGTTTAGAAACGACAAGATTCAGAGAAAAATAGGCTATAAAGGAAGAAGGGCAATGTTAGGACTGAGACTGGCGAGCTGAACTGATTCTGACGTCCCTTATATTGAGGAGTGACAGTCGTACGTGCTCAGTCCATAGCCAGCCAAGGCACTTTTGTATGGTGTTTCCTTCGACATTCCAAGGAAGAGCACATCTGCACGGTCATATTCTTCGATTGCATAGAGCCTTTTCGGTGTCGAGAAAATTCAGCTGGTTTATAATGAGACTGATAAAAGCTACATATATGTATACCTACCTATACATTTTTTCTCGTCTTACTCAAGTCTTCGCAACTCGCGGCTTGCCGCGATACTGCACACGAAATTTGGCACGGGACTAACAGGGCAATGCAAATGGTATCCAGTGTAAGTCTGCGCTTACGCCTTCAATCCGAATTCTCCATATTCTGCTCTTTTTCTCAAAATTGAACGCCCATTAAAGATTCAACTGTTACGCAACCAAAGCCTGGGGTGATACTCACAAATGTTCGAGTGATGACAACATCATTACCAGATGTCGTTATAAATGGACCTTTTTCTTCACGGGAATATCATTACATAGTTTAGAATTCCACATTACTGGCGGGAGGCTAAGTATTGCCGCAAATGATATCGCACAGAGGGGATGCTTCATTGAGTCACAAACCTACCTTGCTGGGAAGTCGTAAGTCGTAAACTAATGGCCAGAAATGAACGAATTCCCGTCTGCTTATGGTAGTGAGACTGATGGGACCCTATCACTGCCCTTACCACTCACTTTTGTCACCTTACTCTACCATCCCGTCTAATTGAATGAAACATATCAAAGAGTCAATGTTTTATTGTGAATACTGAGTGACTCTTGCTCTCTAGCGCTACTTACCAGCTCTTATCAGTTGTTATCAGTTCCTGTCACAGAGTAAGAGTACCTACGACCATTTAACATCCTACATACCTATTAAAATGTCAAGGTTCCACAACTGGCGCGAAGGAGAATACAAACCTGGTGGCTCTCGCCTTCTATGACCCGTTATTAGTTTCTAA